GGCCCTAAACACAACGGGAATATTGGTTAAGCACAAAAATCAAGGTGCAAGGAAATCCAACAGGACAACAATGAACATGCTCTCATTTTCCAAAACAACTAAGGAGCTTAGGTATTATTTGGAGGGAAAAAAGGTTCCTACCAAGCTGCGTAATAAATGTAAAATAGATTGCTGTGGTTGCTGTATGTATTAATAAAAATATTGTTTCTGCAGAGAGTACAAAAGGGAAAAGGAATAAACATTTGTTGAGTGCCTAATACATGCTAGAGAATAAATACTTGCAGTATCTCATTTAATCCTCAAAAGCTGGGATTGTTTCAGGGGGTCAAAAAGATCAGCCTATTGTTTCTAGTCTCTTGCCAGTACCAAACAACAGTCAGAGCATGAGTTTCAGAGCCAAATAGACCTGGTTCAAATCCTGGCTTGGGCACTTCCTCACTGTATAACCTCGGCCAAGTTGTATAATTTCTCTAAGTCTCAGTATCTGGGTTGTTGTGAAGATTAAATGTTTATAAGATGCTTAGTATAGTACCTGACACATAAAAAGCTCTCATTAATTTAGTTACTAGTAATAGCACTAGTAATAATTTTCTACTGGGAATACCCTATTGATTTCTCGGGCCAGTGGTTCTGCCACTAAACAATTAAACACATGTCATAGGCAACAGAGGCCTCAAGTGGAATAAAACTATAAAGTGAAGTGCTTCTTAAGCTTTACCCAGCATCAGATGGCAAAAGGGAAGGTGGAATTTCCTTTACCGAGATGTTTTTCAGTTAATTAATAGACTGAAGAAAACTTAAAAACAAAACTTAAGTTCTGTTTCAGGAAACTGAAAAATGAAACTAAAACTCTGATTCAGGAAACTGAAAAATGAAACTTAAGTTTTCCTCCTTTCTGCAGCACAAGTTCATCCACATGATACTTATCTATTACCAACCCTCAGACAAGAAGGTATGGGGAGAGGGAGGAGACATCCAGGACACACAGGAAAGCTAACATCATCCTGTGGATGAAGCCAAACTTGTCTTCCTTGATCTCCCACACATTTCATAAGTGACCTTGGCCAACATACCCAAGTCCAGTTTTTTCCACTTTCCTTTCCTCTAAAACTGATTCTGGAGCTGACCCAACTTACCACAACGACTTGGAGATATTAAAAACAAACAAACAATATAAGACTGTATACAATGAAGTGATGATAAAAAATATTGTGAAAGTTTCAAATGCACATCATATGCAAGATAATGACACCATTTCATGATATCACATGCTAAATCCATTTATGTACATTTTTCCTTGTTTTGCACTTTGTAGAGAAAATTTTAATGACAACAGAAGGGATATTTGGTAAAATATAAATACTGTGCTACTGAACTCTAAATTTTTATAATTGTTACTTGTGTATTTACTTTTCAAACTCCCAAGATATCAAAAGAAAATTCTACTTTTAATATTTTGATTTGATTAGAAGATTCAATGTTCTGGAAGAACAGAAAATTGTATAGTTTCTCATTCTTTCAACATTCACATAGCTCATAAAATAAAAGTCTACAGTTCTTCATTTGTTCCACAGCTAAAACTCGGACAACATGTTGCAAACTTAGGGAAAAGCAAGTATCTATTTGGTTGTTTTATTTTAGAAGGTTCTCTGCAAACAGAACAATGACGACAGTAGAGTGATGCTTTTGGAACTAACTTTGCTTAGGTGACTAGGACTCCACACATGAGGTATCAAATACGTAGCCACCAGCTATGTGTGGCTATTAAGCATCTTAAAAGGGCTAGTCTGAATTAATGTGTAAAATAACATACCGAATTTTGAACACTTAATACCAAAAAAGTTAAATACTCATTATAATATTTTTTTATATTGATAACATCTTAAAATAATATTTGAGTATCTGGGGTGTAAATAAAAATATTAAAATTATTAAAGTACTATAATAAAATATATTCAATTATTATAATAAAATGATATTTGATATATTGGCTTAAACAGGACAACTATTACATTTTATTAAATTAGTATTAAATTTTTAAAATGGATTTCGCCTGTTTCTTCTGCTTTTTTTAATGATGCTACTAGAAAATTAAAAATTATGTTTTTGGCTTGCATTATATTTCTATTGGATAGTGCTGCTCTAAACCATAGAGTTATTTTCATTTCTGATACCTCATCACTACCTTTGCTAAAGTGAACTGCATTCATTCATTCATCAGCTCTCTTAGGGAAAGGGAAGGGCTGTCTGTTTTCAGAGTCATTTATGCTGTAGCTAAGGAATAAGCCATTCTATACTTAAGAGATGCAGCCAATCTTAGGTGGGCCTGCTAATCCACAGGGAACTCAATTTCTTTCCCCTTAGGTAGAAAACCTTACTTACCTCTGTGGTTGGTATGGGGATTCCTGGGCCTGGCCTCTGGACAAGGTCTTCTGTCCTCCATGTCCGAGTCACCTGAATTCCTCCACGTTCCTATTACTTTCAGTTATCTGGAAATCTGCACAGATGGAGAGTTATCAGTGCCCTTGAAACACAGCATCTAGCAGAAAAAAACCCAAACAGCATCAAGCCAATCCTTTTGCCTCATATGTTAATGATTTGTTAACTAACACTAAAAACAGATTTTAAACATGGTCACAAGTGTTCAACTCCGTGAACGCCCAATTATGATATAAAACATTAAATTCACAACTTAGGTGATTTCAATGGATCAAATTCCCCCTTCCCTTTATCCTTGCACTTTCTTGAGGAAGAGGGAGTGTCATCTATTCCTATTCAAAACTACTGTTTGGTTTACGCCTTTAGCCAAGTTACTTAATCAGTTGCTAGGTTTCATTTTCCTCCCCAGTAAAGCAGGCAAATATTGTTGCCAGGATAGAAAGTACATTTTTGTTAATCCAAAAACCATGTATTTACCACCCCATCCAGCACTTTTCTTATATAGTATTCTACAACTTACAGCACTCTATAGTTTGGAAATAATTAGCGAGCAGTTATCCCTTATCCTGCTCTTTGGAATGCAGCCAACCTGATTAAGCCCTTCGCTCCACTGAATCAAGAGAAAGAAATTACATGTTTCAATAACCAGGAGACTTAGCACCTATGGGATGCTGTTTCCTCAGGACCAGCTAGAAATCTGCAGTTCTTTCCTCTTCTTTCTTCTACCGTGATGATTTTTGACAGTGGTCTTGTAAGAGGAAGAGGAAGTCCCTTTAAGGGAACTTCTCAGTCCACTCACACACATCATGTGGGCTACGGAAAGAGTAGGTGACTGCGAGTCCTCAGCAAAGGGACTTTTGAGACCGTCCTTCTCACTGGGTTTTAAAATATTCACAGCTGGAAACTGTGAAGAGACTTGGCGTTATATGAGGAGTAGCTTGTGTGCCCTCATCAGAAAAAGGAGTCCCTTTCCTTCCTGCGGGGAATATTTTTGGTGACTCCCTTCCCTCATCTTATCGCACTCGGCTCTCGTGGTGCAGGTTTAATATTTAGACTTTTTTTCACATAAAAAAAATTCTCTGAGGGGGAAGTCTCTTCTTCCTGTTGTTGAAAAACACTAAAACAGAAACGCAGATATTTTCTGAGATAAAAAGAGGGGGAAGAAAAAAGAAAGAAGAGGCCAGAGAAGAGCAGAGAGGAACAGGAAATGCTATGAGAAAGGCAGACCACAGTGGGTTTCTTGGGGAATCCAGGCCTAAAGGGCAGGAGAAAGAAAAGGAGTGACGGTCACGCCGGCAGAGGGGCCACCTCCGAGGAGAACGGGGCATCGCAGGCGGGAGGGCAGAGGCGGCCGCGGGAGGCCGGAGCTCGGGCTCGGGGAAGTCTCCAGGGTCCTGAGAGCGGCGAGCGAGGCCGGAGGCGCGGCCGGCACCAGCAGCCCGGCAGGTCCTGACGGGCACAGGACGGGGTCGCGGGGGGCCGGGCGCGCGGGGGCTGAGGGGAACGCGGCCTCGGGCGGAAGGGGGCTGACGGGAGGGGGGCCCGGGAAACGGGGACGGGGAGCCCGGGCGCTGAGGGTGCTTCTAGAAGATGGGGGACAGATGAGGGGAGGGGAGGACAGAGGGAGATGGGGGGAGGCTGTGGAGAAAGTGAGGCTTCCGACGGGGGCGCTGGGGCAGAGGCGGGGACGGGGGCGCTGAGGGGCGCTGGGGTGGGAGGTGGGCGCTGAGGAGAGGGGACAGGGACTCTGAGAAGGGTGATGGGGGCGCTAAGTGATGTGGGCTCTGAGGGGAGATGCGGCGCTGAGGTGGGTGACGGGGGCGCCGGGCTGAGGCGGGTGACGGGGACGCGGGGCTGAGGCGGGTGACGGGGACGCGGGGCTGAGGCGGGCGCCGGGGCAGAAGCGGCGGCAGAGGCAGTAGCGGGGCGGCGCGCGCCGGGGGCCAGGCGGCGGGAGCAGGTGCGGGGCCGGGGCGCGGGGCGGCGGTCACTCACCGGCTCCAGCGCGTCCTGTCGCCACCGCCGCCGCCGCGGACTGGCGCTCGGGCTCGGGCCCAGGCAGGTCCCGGCCCCGCCCGGCGCCGCGCACTTTCGGTTTCCCTTCCCCGCAGAAACGGGGCGGAGCGAGAGGCTGGGCGGGCGGACCGGAGGAGGCGGAGGCGGAGGAGGAGGAGCGCGCCCCGGGCGGCGAGCTAGGGGCCGGACCCCTGGGCTCGGCGGGGCGGGCCGACCGGTGGGCGTCGCTTCAGCGCCCCCCGGCGGCGGGGCCCGCGGGCGCAGGCGGGCGCGGCTGAGGGGAGGGGCCTGCGGGGGCCGAGTTAACAGCACCCGAGGCCTTCGCGGACGTCAGCCATCTCCAAAGGAGGGGGAAGCCGGCGGGCGGCTTGGTGTGTGTGAAGCGCGACATGGCGGCGAGGCCGACGAGCCCGGCTGGCCCCGTGCGTACGGGAAAGGGGCAGGCTAGAGCTTCCTTGACGACCATTAGGTACCTTCGGAGACTACATTTCCCAGATGGCCCCGCGCGGCGCGGGGCTGATGGGGAAGCGCCGAGGGCCCAGTGCGCAGACGCGAGAGCCCCCTCTGGTTATATAAGGGAGGGCCGCCACGCTTATAGTCCTTTTGTGTTTGCGGCACCTTACTTGGTAGTCTTCCGCTGGTGCTTCCTAGTCCGACGGCGTCCTACCCTGGGAACCCGGGTTGACTGCTGTGTGTGGTGAGTGGAGACGCCGCTGTTTTCGCTTCGAGATCTCTGTTCCTCCTTTTCCCTCTGCCATCGCCCTTGCCGGTGGCTGCCTGTGCTCTCAGCGTAAATAGGCCGTAGGGCGGTGGGGGAGGTCAGTTAGAGCTGGAACAACCCTCGCCATATGTACGGACCCGACGAGTCCTTGGCTGGTGTAAAGGATGACTTCACTTTTTTCCCCATCAGATCGACAGTGTTGATGTCGTTGAACACTTGCCAGTTAGTTCTGATGCACCAGCCTTACAAGGCCCGGCTATGTTCTTTCGACCGTGGAAAGATGGCGATCGATGCCCTTTCTTTGTTAGTTCGCAGGTTAGCGTGGTCAGAGGGTACGGAATGGATCTTGGAGGAGGGGGTCGCTGCTGGGCCTCGACGAGAACGCCGTGTAGACATCTACAGCCTTCAGTCTCCTGATCTCTGGGGTAAGCATTTGTCTCCTGGGCTGTTGTAGGAAACGTGTGCTCTGAGGAGCCTCTGAGTTCGCTAGGCGAATTTGGGAATAAATTGGCTAATGGTAGCTAATTTCTGTTAAGCATCTTTCAGGTGCTAGGTGTTCTTTAAGGTTTTCTGGATGCTTCATTTTATTATAATTCTCAAAAATGGACCTAAATGTTATTGGTGAAGAAACAGGCTTAAGAGAAAGAATTCTCCAAGATGGAGTTATCTTTCTAAAGTGAATAGGTGTTATTATTTGTTTTTGCACCTAGGGGTCTAGGTGTTAAAGACTTAGGAGTCTTTTTAATACTCTGTTAATACCTGGTTTAATACCTCTAGAAGCACACCTTGAGATGCTGTTCCTTATTGTGTTCTTGATAAACAGCTTTCTCGTGCCCTTAAATTTCCAAGTGGATGGATAATGTGGCTTTTTCCCCCCTTTTCTCCCCAGAGCCCCCTGGTACATAGTTGTGTGTTTTTAGTTGTGGGTCCTAGTTGTGGCACCAGAGACACCGCTTTGGCATGGCCTGATGAGCTATGCCATGTCCCCGCCCAGGATTCGAACTGGCAAAACCCTGGGCCGCCGCAGCAGAGCGCTCGAACTTAACCACTCGGCCACGTGGCCGGCCCCTAATGGGGCATTTTCTAAAGGAAAGCCAAATGTGTGTTTCTGTTGACTTAGCCACTCAAACTAATTACCAGCTGCCTAGCATTTAATTAAATTCGCTTGAGTCCGGGAATGACGCCTTATGGCGGGCAGACTTGAGGGACACATTTTTTTGTAAACTTTGTGTCCCAGAGTGTTCCTTTTAGTCAGGTTTTTAGTGATGACCTCTCACATTAAAATGTAACATCCTGACACTTGGTCACAACCCTGCAGTCACGTCTCCCATTAGAAAAAGCTGACCATTTCCCCACAGCTCTTGCCCGTCACTCTGGCTTCTATCACGTACCCTCAGAAGGCAGGGATGTTTTTCTTAGATGGTAGTTTCATATTTCTAACAATAGGACACAGAAGTGCTCAAGTATTGAAAGATTCTGCTCGTATGAAAGTGGACCACCAAAATCTTAGTCCTGATTCAGAGCTCTTTTTGTAGAGGCCAAGAGCTTCCTACTGGCATATATGATGACTGAACTTTTTTCCCCGACAGATCGACCATGTTGATCTAACTTCTCTAAGCCAGTTTCTGTCTGATATGCCAGCTTGAGCAGCTCCTCTGTCCGCTACTCTCTTGGGCATCTAGCTGATCAGAGCTCACATTTTGGTGTTTTCATCTCAGGTTTGCTGTTGGCAGAAAGCACACTTGGAATGGGCCAGGATGAATCTGGGAGTGGGAAAGGATTGGTAAGTGACGTCCACATGTCTCCTAAGTGCCCATGCCCACGTGGCTGAGTAGACAGGAGCTGGAGAACGGAGGAGGTAGTAACTGCTTTTCTCTGAAAAGATGGGCATACCCACCTTGTGTTCTACTTTCTAATTCCAATTTGGCCACTGCAGGTGATGACATAACTTTTTTCCCCATCAGATCGACCCTGTTGATCTCACTGAACTATTAGCCAGTTTTGTCTGATGCATTGGCCCCAGTGATAATTTCTGTCCTCATTTTCTGCTTGCCACTAGCAGACTGCTTTCTCTCTCAGGTTTTTTGGTGGGATTGGGTTTTACCCCCCAGCGTTCAAGTCATTCATCTTGGCTTCATCTGTTAACTTCCTGCAGGTCAGGAGCCATGTGTGCCACAGGGCAGGAAGAAGGTTGGCTGCAGCCTGATCTTCCTCTCGACTTGATTCAGTATGTCCTGTAACAGGTGAGGTAAATGGTGTTACCCAAGTGTCAGTCCCCTAATAAAATGATTATTAAATGTGCCCAGAATAGGGGCCACCTAGGATGTAGTGGTTAAAATTCGCATGCTCCATTTTGGCAGCCTGGGGTTCACAGGTTCAGATCATGGGCACGGACATAACTGCTCTAGTCATGCTTTGGTGGCGTCCCACATAGAAAACAGAGGAGGATGGGAACGGATGTTAGCTCAGGGCCAATCTTCCTCAGGAAGAAAGAGCAGCCCCCAGGATAGGTGTTCGCCCACTTGTCAATAACCCCCAAGGCGGGTATATAAAACAGGAGGGGAGAATTAAGTCCTTAGCAGGACTGTTGAGCTATTGGTACTGTTAGATCTTGCAAGGAAGGAAAAATAAACAGTTAATTTCTGCTTTGGCAGGTGTATTACAAGATAAGGAAATCTAGTCATTTTCCAATTGGGATTCAAATGGATTGTAATTTTTGAAAGATTGAGTTCCTAGCTATTGGCTGGAGGCCACCGTCACTTCCGTGCTGCCTGGGCTGCCTCACTATGGCAGCTTGCTTCATCAAAGTCAGCAAGTCAAGGAGATAGGCTATTTAAGCCTACGTTTCCTGCCCCCATCTTTTAAAATGGAAACTAACAGCCCCTTTCTGTATCCTTTGGGTACTAGGCAGTGTGCACCTCCATGGCTGATGGTTAGTGACTGGAACTTATTTCCCCAGATAGCCTTGCTGATTAAGGGAACCGTTTAAGGCAGACCTGTCTGATTGAATCAGGCAGGCCTTGGTTGTATGCCTTTAAGCTGTACAGCCCTTAATTCTGTTAACTTAGTGGCTGCTTTTGCCGAAATGGTCCCTGAGTTACACTGTTCCCTGCCATGCCTAGTATCCTTAATTGATGGAGGGGGAAATGAGCAACACCAGTCAGCTTTCCTCCAGCCCTTGAGTATAGGGTGGGTGATTGCAATAATAGATGTGCTTCCTAATTCCCCAATTTATGAAAAAATCTCAAACATGCAGAAGAGTTGGAATTAATGTCAATGATTGCTTGTTACTTTAAATTTAAAGTTTTTTCTTTGCTTATAAATGCATAGTTTTTGCTATTTGAAAGCAAGTCGTTTGTTTTATAATCCTTAATCCCCAGATTGTTCATTTGAATTTCTCTAAATTAATCTAGAAATTAGACTGTTCTCCAAACTGATCCTTGATAATATGTTACTAGTTCCCTAATATCTGTTTACCCACTCTGTATTCACATGTCCCATTTGTCCCTAAAGTGTCTCTTGTGTATGCATTCCTTTGTATCATGTCCCTCTAGAGTCAACTAAAAACCTTTTGGTGTGGTCGTTGATTTGTCTCTACCTGTATTTCCTGTGATAGAAAGCGTTTAGATTGAGAATGAAAAGTTTGACATCAGGTACAACACAGGCTTCAAGGAGGGGCTGAAGAGACAGGTTGACTCCTGAGACGGGAAGTCTCCTTGGTCTGGTACTTGATTATGCACCTGAAGTCTTAACCAGTTGCTTCCACATCCCAAACAAGTAGCCCTTTACATCAGAATGAAGTACTGATTGTAATCTGTCTGTCTTTTAAGGTGTTTCTCAACTGGAGTTGGAATACAAGGACTCTTGAAAAAGATTGACCCTGTGTTTACCTGAGAAAGGTGGTTGAATCTGTCCACAAGGTTATTGTATAACTTGAGAACTGTCTACAAAGTTGAAAACTGCCCATTTTGAAGAATCAAGGATTATTATTAAACTTTTTTTTTATTAAAGATTGGTACCTGAGCTAACATCTGTCGTCAGTCTTTTTCTTCTCCCTGTAGCACCCCTACACACAGTTGGTAGGTTCTTCTGGCTCTGTTATGTGACATTCCCCCCCAGCATGGCTCAGTGAGTGGTGCTAGGTCCGCATCTAGGATCCGAGCCAGCAAAACCCTGCGCCACCAAAGCAGAGCACTCAAACTTAACCCCACAGCCACGGGGGGCTCCTAAACTTTTTAAATTACTAAAGTTTCTGTTTTATTTTTTTCTTTGAGGAAGATTAGCCCTGAGCTAACTGTTGCCATTCCTCCTCTTTTTGCTGAGGAAGACTGGCCCTGAGCTAACATCTGTGCCCATCTTCCTCCGCTTTGTATGTGGGACGCCTGCCACAGCATAGCTTGCCATGCGGTGCCGTGTCCACACCCGGGATTACGGAGAAGCGGAACGTGCGAACTTAACTGCTGCACCAACGCTCAGCCCCTCAATTATTAAAATTTCCAACTTTGTAGCCTTCCTATCTGGAGAAAGAAGAAAAAATCTTTAAATCAAAGTCCTGTTGTATTTGGTCATTGGAAATAAAGAAGCACCGAGAATGGTTCTCTATAAACCAAGTGTCTACAGAGGTCAGCAGGGGTAAAGAATAGGTGGAGGGCAGATCTCACACTTGTACATTTATGCAGGCGTTTAATGTTTAACGATGGAAAATCCCAGACAGGTTTAATGCCTCATGGTCAGTTTGGTTTCATTTAACTCCTGTCCCCCTTCCCCACCACAGTTTTGAGGTATGTTGTCTGAGAGTCTTAACTTGAGAAAGTTGGGGTTCCAGTGTTCTGCATCCTCCCGCCCCAACTGGCCGTTTGTATTGTGCATTCTAAAATGGCTCCTGGTATTGACGTGATCCTTCGTCTTGAGTGTGCTGGGCCTAGTGCTTCCTGTGAATAGAAAGCTGCAGAAGAGAGGCTGTCACTCCTGAGATGGGTTATAACAGATGTCTGCCTTGCTAGTTCCCATCCTGTGTTTCCCCATTCCTTGGCCTGCTCGCTTTGATGAAGCAAGCTTCTGTGTTGATGTCCACAGCAAGAAACAGTGGCCTCCAGCTGACAGTGTGCAGGGAACTGAGTTCTGCCCCAACTTGAGTTTGTAAGCAGATACTTCCCCAGTCAATCCTTGGGGACTGGAATCCTTCCTGACACCTTGATGTCTGAGACCTTGAGATGCCCCACCTAAACCATGCCTGGATTCCCAATTTACAGAAAAGGAGATTAAATATCTTTCAAGGCACTAAGTTTGGGGGATAATTCACCCAACAGTAAATACAGAGCTCCATAATCAAACACCCTCTCTGTAATGGGCTTGACCTCTTGCACGTCATTAACTGCATCAGCCAACTCACTTCCTCAGCTACTTGTCAGGACATTCAGTGCTCTATGTGTGGCCCCAACCTACATTTCCAGGTTTGTCTTGTGTTTCCCTTCTTGCACTCAACTTGAACTTAACATTTCCAAGACTGATCTCTTGCCACCAAGGCTGCACCTCCCACAATCATTTTTATCCCCAGTGTTGGCAACACTGTCAGTATAGTTGCTCAGGCCAACAATTTTGGAGTTTGACATTTTGCTCTCTCATTCCCCTTGTGAAGCCATCAGCAAATCCTATTGGTTCTCCCTTCAAGATTCATCTGAAATTCACCCGTCTTGCTACCTCCTGATCCAAGCCACCACCACCCAAGCTTTGATAACTGGTCTACTTCCACCATTGCCTGCTATAGTCTATTCTTACGCACCCAGAGGGATCTTGAAAACCAAAGATCAAGCCCCTTTCCTGATCAAAACTCTCCAAGGTCTCCAGACCTCATGCAGGGTAAAAGCCAGAGTCAATATCCTGCACCTCCTCTCCCTTACAGTCTGACCTCGTCTCCCTTCTCTTAACTTAAAAAGCCAATTAGCCTCTTATTTTATCCTCAAAACAAGTTTATTCAGGAATAGCCAAAAGAAACTTGGGATGTGCATGCTATGGTGAACCATAGGCAAATTCAGAAAACAAAGGTGAGCTGCTGATATAGAGAAGAAGGGGGAGTAGGGAGGCGCTGTTCTAAAGGAAAGTCCATTGGGGGAAAGTAACAGTTCAGGGAGGCATCTGCATCTCTGGCTGGGCTGTGTCTAGGTGGGGAGAGAAATCTCCCTTCAGTAAAGTAGTTGTACTTCCTGTTGAAGATGTAGGCTTCCATCTCTTTTCCTCTTTGGTGTAGTGGACCATGTATGATAGGGCATGAGAGCTCCCCCTATAGGTCTTCCTGACTCTGATTTAGTTAAGGTTTCTTTTTTTTTTTTTTTTGAGGAAGATTAGCCCTGAGCTAACATCTGCTGCCAATCCTCCTCTTTTTGCTGAGGAAGACTGGCCCTGAGCTAACATCCATGCCCATCCTCCTCTACTTTTTATATGTGGAACGCCTGCCACAGCATGGCTTGCCAAGCGATGCCATGTCTGCACCCAGGATCCCAACCAGTGAACCCCAGGATGCCAAAATGGAACGTGCACACTTAACTGCTGTGCCACCGGGCAGCCCCTCTTTTATTAATTTCCACACTTCTCTTTCAATCTTTCAGTCTCCTGACTCCTCCTCCATCACTTTAGGATCACTCTTACCTCAGGATCCTTGCACTTGCTGTTCCCTCTGCCTGGAATGACCAGCCCTAGGCACTCTAGATCTTTGCATGGTTTCCTTCCTTGTCTCTTAGGTGTTTACTCAAATGTCCCCTTCTCTGGGGACCTATCTAGAATAATCTTCCCTGCCACTTTCTATTCCCTTACCTTGTATTTTTCTTTGTATTACTGATCACTGCCTAATAAATAGTGCCTATGCATATATAGTACGTATGCATTGTATGTGTAGTAATATAGCATATTCGTTTATGGTGTGTCTCCCCCTCATTAATCCAGGACTCCACGTAGGTAGCATCTCTGCCTCCTTTGTGGCCCCTCCGCAGCTCGTGGCACAGTGCATATCGCATGTGGTAGGCCACTCAATCAATATTTGTTAAGTGAAAGAGTGAATCAGACGCCTGCCTTGTGTCTGGACTCTGCTAAGTCACTTGACGTGCACACTGCATTACTCACCAGACAGCCCTGTGAGGACAGAACCGGCATGATTCTTATCCCAATTGCACAGATGAGGAATTAGGGCTCAAAGAGCCACGGTTCCCCAGCTCTACATGAGAGCAAGCATTTGGGAAGCTCTTTCTGTGTTCCAAGCAGAGTTATAAGTGTTCCTTTACTCCTCAAGATTCTGCCCTGTTTGACTCCAAAGCCCCCCCTTTTCTCTCTCCAACTCACTGCCTTCTACTAGAACAAGGAGTGTTTTCTGTTCTTTACGTCCCCTGTGGTTTCTAGACCTATTCCTTGCACATAGTAGATGCTCCATAAGGCGAAAATGACTAAATGATTCTTCGAATCATCGTTCACAAGCTGGCAGCCCAAACACCCATTTTGGGGCCCACAGAATGTTTCTTAAAGAAAGAATGGGAGCCAGCCCCGTGGCCGAGTGGTTAAGTTTGTGTGCTCCACTTCGGCAGCCCAGGGCTTCGCTGGTTTGGATCCTGGGCACGGATCTAGTACCACTCATCAAGCCATGCTGAGGTGGCGTCCCACATAGCAGAGCCAGAAGGACCTACAACTGGAATATACAACTGTGTACTAGGGGGTTTTGGGGAGAAGAAGAAGAAAAAAAAAAAGATTGGCAACAGATGTTAGCTCAAGTGCCAATCTTTAAAAAAAAATAAAGGAAGAAAGAATGTATTCACATAATTCATCCCATAAATATTTATTGAGTACCTACCATGTACCAGGCCCTGTTCTAGGTGCTGAAGATATGATAGTAAAAAAAAAAAAAAATTATTGCCCACATGGGAGATGATTGCTAGTGGAGGGAAAAACAATAATAAATAATAGTATGCTATTTAATTGTAAATGCAATGGAGAAAACTAAAGGGGGTGGAAGGCATAGATGTGGACGTGTAAAGGTGAACATTTGAGTATGGAGCGGAAAGAGATCAGGGAGTGAGTGGTGTGAATATCAGCAGGATGGAATGCTCCAGGCCAGTGGAGGCAAAAACATACCAGTTGGATGTTGTGTTTGGAGAGTTGAAAGGACGCCAGTGCGGCTTCTCATGGAAAACTGGAAGATCTGGCCGTAGTGGACCCGTTTTCCTGCCTGGTTATAATTGGCTGTGACTGAATAATGCCCATCCCTTTGGGCAGGTACTGGGCTTTCCAGATCCCACGGTCTCCACCATTCCACTTCCCTCTTTACATCCCTGCCCCTGTAGTAGTGATAATAGTAAGAATAGCCAACATTTATTGAACAACAGTTCTTTCCATGTAATAAAACATTATTCTTCCAACAATCCTCTGAGACAGGTTGCATTCTTAACTTCATTTGACAGTTGAAGGAACAGTCTCCAGGGTGAAATGACTTGCCTAAGGTCAACACAGCTCGTAAGTGGCAGAGCCAGGACTTGAACCCTGTCAGTGTGGCTCTTGGGGCTGGCCCTGGGCACAGTGGTTGAGTGCTCACGTTCTGCTTCTCAGCAGCCCGGGATTCGCCGGTTCGGATTCCGGGTGCAGACATGGCACTGCTTGGCACACCATGCTGTGGTAGGCGTCCCACATATAAAGTAGAGGAAGATGGGCACGGATGTTAGCTCAGGGCCAGTCTTCCTCGGCAAAAAGAGGAGGATTGGCAGTAGTTAGCTCAGGGCTAATCTTCTTCTTCAAAAAAATCTGGTTCTTGAGTTTGTAACCCTTGGCTTAATTGCAACCAATTACTTAAATACAGTCTAAGGATACAGGGAGGAGTCAATCTCTGGCTCTTAAAAGTTCAAATGCTTTTGTGGGACTTCCTTGTTGGCGAGACACCTCTGAGGTCAGAAGTGGCCCCAAATGCCTACAGCCAGGGGCCAGAGAAGCTCCCTAGAGAGCGTCCACTCACCTCAAGTCTCTTGGCTTTGCTGTCACTGCTTCCCTGAGCTCCAGGGGCAACGGTGGGCCTTAAATGTTCAAACTCTTTGCATCCTGTCTCCCTACCTTCAGTCCCACCAAACGTTTGATCCTTCAGTCTCATCCTACTTCTTTGTCCTCTTAGCTGGGGGATCTTGGGCAAATTACTTCACCTCTTTAAGCCTCAGTTTCCTCATCTGTGAAATGGGGTTCGTAATAATTCCTACTTTAGAGAGTTGTAAGGTTCAATAAAATTATGTCTGTAAAGTGCTTAGCCCAGGGTCTGGCACATAGTAGGGACACAATTCTTAGTGACTAAAGAAATCTTCCTGCCACTTTGAGGTAGGATAAAGTCTGTGTTGGAGAAATAGAAGAAGAAGAAGAAATGTGTTCATGGAGTACTTACCATGTGCAATATTGCATTAATTATTTATCTCCTTTAATCTATAGCCCAACCCTGTTCCTTTTTGTTTTTTTTAGGAAGATTAGCCCTGAGCTAACATCTGCCAATCCTCCTCTTTTTTCCGAGGAAGACTGGCCTTGAGCTAACATCTGTGCCCATCTTCCTCTGCTTGATACGTAGGACGCCTACCACAGCATGGCTTGCCACGCGGTGCCATGTCCGCACCCAGGATCCGAACCGGTGAACCCTGGGCCGCCGAAGAGGAACATGTGCTCTTAACCACTGCGCCACCGGGCCAGCCTCCCAACCCTGTTCCTTACTATCCTATTTTATAGATAGGAAAACTGAGGCTCAGAAAGGTTTAGTGACTTACTTGAGGTCACACACCTTGGAAGCGACAGCTGGGATTTGAACTCCATCCTGGGCCCCTAATTTCTATGCTCTGCTGCCTTGCAAAGGCTTTGGCTTCAGACCATGAATGAAATCACAGGCATTCCCAACAGGCTGTGGAGAAAGACAAGGGATTCACAGACCATCTTCCAGAATTCCAGCTCGGAGGTGATGTTGTCGCCCCTGCACCTCGCTCCTTGTTGGCTGGGAGCAGAGCAATTTCACAAATGCTTCTGAGCCTGTGATTAGTCCTAGCTCCCGGCAGACAGCTTGTGACTTCTACCTGCTCTTAGCTTTAGATTGCCCATCTATAAAATGGCCATAACAACATTACCTTCCTCTTGGGATCCGGTGAGGATCAAAGGAGATATGTCAAAATGCTTAGTGTAGCACTTGGCACAGAGTAAGTGTTGAATTAGGAATAGCTGTTCTGGCCACCCGCTGCTGCTGCCTGGAGCAGCTGGGATGATCACCTCCCCCCCACCCCCCACCGGCCTCACTGCCCCCCCCAGCCTCCTCCACCTCGGAATAAATGAGACAGGCATCTTGGTGGGCTAGGTGGGGCCCTAGGTGACACAAGTCTGCACATAAAGGAAGCCACACCCGCCTGAAGTCCGCCACACATCCTGTAACATAGAGCAAGTCAGCAGCCCGTCCACGCCTGCTGGAAACCACTCGGTTTGCAGCGGGACCACAAACTGAGCATACATTTCCAGAACCAATCAGCCAGCTGATCACGCATCCTGGGGTCCCATCCCCAGCTGCTGCATCCACTTCCTTTTAAAGTCCCATAAAAAATCCCCTTCAACCCAGCTCAAAGCTGTCTCTCTGCTTTCCGACACAGCACAGGCTCTCTGCGGCCTCTCCCTTTCCTTTACCTAAGTCTTGCTTACTAAAACTGTTTTGTACTTTATTCTGTGGCTCTCGCTTGAATTCTTTCCTGAGGGGGCCCAAGGACCCACTTCCTCCGGCCTGGGGCCCCAGGTGGGGTACCCCGCCCGGCGACACAAAGAGTAGAAAATGTCCGACTTATCCGAGAGCAGCATCCTACCAAAATCCCAGTGATAACAGAACGATACAAGGGTGAGAAGCAGCTTCCTGTCCTGGATAAAACCAAGTTCCTTGTGCCTGATCACATCAACAGGAGTGAGCTCATCAAGATAATGAGAAGGCGCTTACAGCTCAACGCTAATCAAGTCTTCTTCCTGGTAGTGAATGGACACAGCATGGTGCGCGTGTCCACACCCACTTCTGAAGTGTATGAAAGTGACAAGGATGAAGATGGATTCCGGTATATGATATGTGCCTCTCAGGAGACATTTGAGATGAAATTGTCAGAGTAAGACTAGACAAATGCGTCTGTTCTAGAATTTTTTAAACCCTTACCAAGGAAAAACAAAGGGATGTTAGCAACTGAGAGCGATCAGTTCATCTAACGACAGAGCATCAAAACAGCAAAACCAGGAGTTCTAGGAAGTTGCTTTTGTACTTAAAGCAGAAAGACTGAGCTCCAAATGAGCACATTCCGCTTTGGAAAACTATTATTATTTTACCTAGGCTGTCTTGTTTTCAAATTTAGAAGTTTAAAAATAAAATACTTTGCATTCTGAGTTGCCAATAAAATAGACCTTCAAGTTATTTTAATGTTCTTTCCCCAATAGGAACTAGCAATTTGAGCATTCAGAGACATTGTTTCCTCTCTAGGTTCAGAGAACCTGCCGACTTTTTATGGAAGGGTTTCTACTCAACTAGAGAAATCTCTGCAAGAGGATCTGCGAGCATAAGCTGTCGAGCACAGGGCCCTCAAAATGCCTTTGCCATAATAGTTGGCAAAAATCGGGATAAATGGTGTATGAGAAAACTCTGAACTCTGTATGAGGTTCCCGATTCCTGATAAGCGTACCCCACGTTGATGCTCTTGCACTAAGTTCTTCTTTGATTTGTTCTCTAGCTAGATACATCCAGAAAAGCACCACTGCTTAGTAGGAAGCTTGAATAATTTATAATTTTGGTCTAGTTTCTCAAAAGGCCCAGGGAAAAAAAGAATGACATTTCTTCTGTTTTGGTTATCGCTTAAGAGCTCATACTAGAGCCTGCTTGAGTAAATAAAAAGCAGCGGTATCAGTTTCATTCTTAAGGACAGTGGTGGAAACTATAGAATTCTGAAACTGAAAGCCTTGACATTCAGATGCACTTCCTCTCCCTGTTGGCTAAAAGCTGCAGATGACCCATGTTTTATGTTAAGTGTGTGATGAAAATGTATTATTAAAAAGTCACCACATTTTTAAGAGTGTTTCAGTTGTCACTATTAGGTCGAGCAACCATCAGAATTCCCCACTAAGAGCGTGTCAGTTGTGAAGAAAACATAGCAAGAGGAGACATATGCTGTTCCAGATGTTAACGGCAAGAATTAAACATTTCCAAGTCCAACTAGAATAAATGGACAATGCTTCCTACTACTTGCATGGGGTTCATATTTCCTGTTTTCGTGGGCATATCACGGACCACTTAGAGTCTATATGCAGCAGGTCACGATTTGCTTTTGTGTATTTAGATGTGTGGAATAGCTGTATCTGTTAGTGGAAGTTATTGTCGGTAATGGAGGGGAAAAGCAATATTACTGCATCTGGGCCCTCAGCCCCCAACCTCCCATCAACCACTCTTCCCGCTGCTTGCCTCTGTCCACGTGGCTAACTTTTAATATGTATGTGTTTACATTATGTAAATTCTTAATCAGCCTGTCTTGTTTCAACTGTACATATCATTATATCGGACATTCTTGTAACTACTGTGTGACCAATAATATTCCTGTAAGAAATTCTGCTTTTTAAAAAAATAAAAATACCATGCTGGGGAGGGGGCTCCATCCCACATTAGTGGGTAATCACTCTATTTATAGCATCTTTAAAGCAAGTACATTTTTAACGAACTAAAGTGAATAAAGGCACAACTAAAAACTGTCAAAAAAAAAAAAAAAGGAATATTCTTCATCTGACTGGTGGTCTAGTGGTTAAGATTCAGCACTCTCACTGCCAAGGCCCGGGTTCGTTTCCCAGTCAGGGAACCACACCACCTGTCTGTGGGGTGTCACACTGTGGCAGCTGCGTGTTGCTGTGATGCTGGAAGCTATGCTACCTGTAATTCAAATACCAGCGGGGTCCCCCATGGCAGACAGGTTTCAGCAGAGCTTCCAGACTAGACAGACTAGGAAGAAGGATCTGGCCACCCACTTCCAAAAAAATTGGCCATGAAAACCCTAGGAATAGCAGCAGAGCATTGTCTGATACAGCGCCAGAAGGTGGCGAGGGGATGGTGGAAAAAGAATGGGCCTGCTGCACACAGGGTCACTAGGAGTCAGAGTCGACTTGACAGGACACTAGCAACAAACAGAGATCTTCCTCTGAGTAATGATGAACTAGCACAAGGACTTGCACGAAGATAACACGCTAAGTGAGGGAAGGGAAGCCAGTCTCAAATAGCTGCATACTGTATGATTCCATTTATTTGACATTCTCGAAAAGACAAAACTATAGTGATGGGGAACAGATGATCAGTTGCCAGAAGTTCACATGGGTAGGGAGTCTGAATATAAAAGACCATCACAAGGAAGTTTGCGGTATCCTTATTGTGGTGGTGGCTACGTGAATTTATACGTATGTTAAAATTCATAGAACCATACACCAAAAGGAAGGACAAAGTCAATTTTGTACCATAATTTTTAAAAATATTAAAAACAAGCATGGCCTCCAGAGTTGGATTTCTTAGGTTTGAATCCTGGCTCTGCCCTTTATTAGCCGTTTGACTTTGAGCATGTGATTCATGTCTCTGAGCCTCAATTTCTTCATCTGAAAAATAGGGATATAATGGTACCCACCTTAGGGGGATATTTGGAGGAGTAAAGGAACACATAACCCTACGTGGAACATAGAAAGAGCTTCCCAAATGCTTGCTATTTTCTCGTTTCTTTTAATCTTCCGTTTTTCCTTTTCTCTCCTCCTCCTCCCAGATTTTGCCTGCCTCCCTCCAAACTGAGGCCGCACAATTGACAGGGAAGATGGAGCGGGGCTCCTTCCAGGACTTGCAGCTCCGGCCTGTGGCTGTAGGAGGCGCTGTGGGCACACATTTCTCCAGCCTGTGGAGCAAAGTCTCCGCCCGCGGGCAGTCACGGGGAGGTGGGCCCGGCAGAGGCGTCGCGTGTAGGCGAGCTTTTCAGATCCTGCAGCCAGCAGTTCGGAGTCGACTGCAGCAGCCGAGCTTGAGAAAGGGCAAGTGCACCAGGTCTGAATGGTGCGCTGCTGACCTGCCACCGATAGACTCATCATGTTCCCTGGTTCGGATCCCCGGTGCGGACATAGGACCGCTTGGCAAGCCATGCTGTGGTAGGCGTCCCACGTATAAAGTAGAGGAAGATGGGCACGGATGTTAGCTCAGGGCCAGTCTTCCTCAGCAAAAAAGAGGAGGATTGGCAGCAGATGTTAGCTCAGGGCTAATCTTCTTCTTCAAAAAAAGGAGCAAACCAACCAAAAACGAATTTACCCACAATCCCTTCCATCTAACATAATTGGTAATCAGTTTTCACTTTCCCATGTTCCCTTCTGTCTCCATTATGTTATCATAGTGGGGCGGGCTACTACCAGCATAGTTGGAGCTTCCCATTTTTAAGGGAAGCCAGATGTTGGCAACTGATTCCAATGATATAACCTGTGAAGACTGAGCAACGCGTATGTGTGGCCTCCATGTGGCCTTTGTCATTCCTGGGCCGGATAAAAGCCGCAATGCCCAGATAAATTTGAATTCAGATAAATAAATAAGTTTTAGTGTATGTCCCGTGCAATATTTGGGACATAGTTAAAATTCTTTGTTGCTTATCTGAAATTCAAATTTAATTAGGCATATTGTATTTTTATTTGCTAAATCTGGCAACCTCATTCCTGGGAGTGCCTGGCCTGTGACGATGGCATCTGTTCTTTAGGATGAAGCCTCGGTGGACAATGTACCTTCTGAGTAACTTTCATATTCTCTGTACACTTGGATTTTTCCTCCAAGATGGTCTGGGGAGAAATTGGGGTTTGTGGGGTTTCCTGATGGTCAGTTTCCAAATTGGCTTCAAAGCCAGGGTGGGTGGAGTTGGCAGGTTCTGTGGCCCACCGATTGGGCTGGTCCCTAATCAATTCCTCCTGAGGTCCCAGTGTTAATTAATTGCAAGTCTGTTTAGAAGGCGACTGTCTTTTCTTTCATCTGTTAGTCATGGCAGAAACAGACCATCTTGGGCTTATTTATATCTGTGGCTTTTTTAAAAAGAAAAGGAGACATCTGGAGCCTCTCACTTGGCAGGCTCTCTTAAACAAATGGTCCTTTTTGCCAAAACAGACTGGCGCCACAAGGCCACAGTTTGCAGGTGGGAAGGCTTGGGTTGGGGGTGGTCCTAGTGAGTGAGAGCATTTTTTTTTTGGCTCTGATATTAAAATGGCGTCATGTGCAGTCTGGGACTTTGACGTCACTTTTGGCTCTGCCCAGGTGGACCCGATGTTTTTATAGCTAAAGGAGCTACCTTCTGAGTGGTCTGGCCTTTATCCTAGTATGTGCTAGGCTGCCTCAAACATTTCACTGTCCCACCATTTAGTCAAGACCAAACATACCTCTCTAAGCCCCATTTCTCATCATCATCGTCATCATCATCATCATCATCTCAACAACAGCCACTTTTATTGAAATTTCCTACCAGACTCCATGCCAGGTACTTTACATGTTATAAATAATTTATTCCTCACCTCCACTCTACAAGAGAGGTAATATTATTATCTCTACAGACGGAGAAACTGAGGTTCAGAGAGGGGAAACGACGTACCTAAGCCACACAGTGAATGGCTCTGCCAGCATCTTCCTGTGGTTGTCCAGATCCCCTCCTCACCCTAGTCCACCTTGCTCAGTGCTCCTGGAGTGTGGACTGCTTCCACAGCTCTGAGCCCTGCAGTGGGAGCTTCAGCAGGAGGTGGGAGGAGGCATGGAGAGTGGGGCCGAGCTATGCTTCCCCTTGGTCCCAGCCTGCAGGGTGCTTCTCCAGGAGTTCCTTCACAGACTCTCCTTCTGGACTCTGGTGGCTTCAGGTATAGGGGGTCCCTCCTTCTATTTCCAGCTCCAGGGTTCCTCACTAGCCCTGTGGTTTCATTATATCCCGTGCGCATCCTGTGTTATTCTCGAATTATACTCCGCTAGCGTTATTCTGTTTCCAGTGGGCTATGACTGGTACAGAGGCAGAGCTGGAATTTGAACCCAAGAACTCCCAAATAGCCTCTTTGCCGATGGCCTCCCAGAGCTGCTTCCTGGTTGCTCCTGCCAGGCA